AGATGTGGCCTTGAGGGGAAAGGGTTAGAATAGGTCTCTGCCTTCAAGTATTCTATTAAAAGGATCGCCAGAGTTTAGCTGTTAATTCTGCCCATGTACTTTACATATGGAGAACTAGATTTCATGTAAGAGAGGACCCATATTGGAAATCTTACATTTTTCCCTTCCCCCTCTTCCAAGTATATTAGATGAACAAAAGTTCTTAGATCTCCCTCAAGCATATATTTCATAATTCCATATGACTTGCTTCAATGATGTTGTCCGTTGTGCAGCAACGTAAGTGTACAGGTATTTTTTTTTTCTAGTGTATGCTAATAATAAAACATGTAGGTCACAGGGAAGGTTGCTTAATTTGAAATAAATAATATTGAAATTACTAAGTCTTCCGTGATCATGGAGAACACTTGAAAACACGTTCTCATGCTTCATGCTGTATCTCTAGAAGTTTGGGACTGGCATCCTTGTGAAAGAAGTGTCTAGTACCAAGTCCTTGTGTAAATAACATGGAGATCTACGTTATTGCTTTCTTTTATGCTGAGACTACTGTAGTGTTGTGAGGATTTTATTCTTTTATGTATGTACATACATAAGTATAATGTTTGTATATTTTATCTTTAACTGTATGTTTAATGAAAAGCAGGAAAAAGTCAGCTACCCTCTCATTTCATTTAATATACTTTTGATTTCTGAACTACTAAGAAAATGCTAGTCCCAGGCAGTAGATTATCCTTTTTGTGACATTAAAGGGACAACAAGAGAAATTAAATCAACTTGGATGCTGAGTTATTTTACCAAACAATTTCAGTGGATTACAGGATAGTAGAACTAACATAGTTTTGTGCTAAGTGGCAGGACTTGAGACTAATGTTCTGCAGTAGTGCTTGTGTGCTTGATCTGAAAATTGTAGTTCCTGCTGTAGAGGGGAACGCATGAAAGATGGTTTAAAGATGCCTGAAAGTCTGTAGTCTAGTACTGCAATCTTTGCAGCATACTTCACGTGAAATCAAGGGGATAGCCCATTTCATATAGCTTGTGAACCGAAGTAAAAATTTGCTCAGGTGGTTGCTAAATAAGAGATTGTCAAAAGCTCTTCAGATACTTTTAAGTAGAAGTTAGATACTAAGCACCTTCTGCAAAATGTCTCTCTCTTTTTCTCTGATACCTTAGTGTCCTTGTCCAAAAGAAGAAAGAAATCATCGCTTTGATTTTTGTAGTGTTCAGCGCTCAAAACAGGTGGTACAGTTCTAGGTACTAATGAGCTTCATCTTTTTCTGACAAGATAATTCAGGCCTCCAGTGCCCAAAGGTAATGCTACAGAGCACTCTGAAGTGAACCAAATCTCTTTGGTATACTCTTTCTTGCGAAACTGTTTGGTTAGTTGCAGTAGCATCTGATTGCATCTTGCCACCTTGTATCATTTGCGTTTGAAATGCCTGAGTAGGCATGTGAATTACGGTATCGTTCAGGTCCTGTACAATCTACTAAAATAGATTGTCGTGTAACTAACTATGTCAATTAATGTGTTTGAGGTGCCACCATGTTTTGCCTTTTTAATGGAGAGATTTTTGAGATGTAATATGTGACACTTGAATAACTGAGTTTAACTTGAATACTTTTCTTCTGATGCCCCCATTCCCTTCACCCCCCCAGTTTTGCAATACTATTCAGTATAATTTTGGGAAGTTTGCCTAGAATTTATTAAGCATTAAGCAAATAAACTGCATTAAGGTCTTCATACTACTGTTAAAAACTCTGCTGAGGATGAAGTATACTGTTTAAATGCCAAACTGTGCAAAAGGGGAGCAAATGCAAGTTTCTGTGACCGTTTTCTTTAGCTGAATTTTTATTTTAAGGTTCATCTTCTATTTTAAAGAATGAGTTTTTTACAAGGTAAGGGTCTTTAAAGAAATTGGGGTATGTAGTACTGAGCTGGGAATTCAGTGTCTTGTAAGATTCTGTAATATCCAGAATTATTTCTTGTTGGTATGTGAAATGGGGACTGACTTAAAATTAGAGGCTGCAAACTGTTCAAGATCCAGAAAACGATTTATTTAATTACTTAGGAAATTCTGACAGATGAGTGATACTCCTGATGATTGATACTGCTGTTTAGAGTCCTGCCTAAAATGTTTCTGTTACTTCTGATGAAGTCTTCTAAGAGCAAAAGGCGGGCTAAGGTTTTGTTACCCAGTAAAACAGAGTAATATGTGGAATTCCACCCTAACACCCACCTTTTTTTTCTTGGATTATGAAGTAGAGGAGGAGAACTTCGTATTATCTTTCAACACAAGTAATCATCCTTTGTTGACTTTGTTTGTTTGTTTTCTCAAACTATGAGTGCTTTAAAAGAACTGATAAAAGTACCCTCCTTGGACTTTTGGTTCATAGTATCTGTTTTATTCTCTTGGAAACTGTGAAACAAGCTGAAAAGAGGTTCTCTATATTTCCTGTGACTTAATATTTGGTTAAGTAATACTATTTAGTAATCCTGTTACAGATGAATCTCACAATCTCTCTTTCTTTTCTCCTGAAAAGTATGGTATGAAAAGTATGAAAAATATCCCAGTTCTGTGATGAATTTAGTGACAATTCAAAACATCTTTGCGAGCTGGAGCCTTGCTCTGGATAAGGACAGTATGTCTGGATTTGGATCTTTAGTTTATTTGAAAACTTCTGTACTCTTGTTTTCCTTTGAGTTTTTTTCCTCTAGCTTAGAGCCATTAGCTTACTGGTTTGAGGCTGTTACTGAACATCAAGATTGAAATACACATTTTGCCATTGTGACTGTGAAAGTCACAAAGACCTGATCTTTTGTTTTGAAGGTTTCTGTCTCTGACCTCCTTTCTCTACGAGCATCTGTGAGCTGCGTGGGCTGCTCAGCAGTTACCTCCGGCCCATGTGTTAAGTGCTCTGAAGCCATGACGGGTGCTGAATTTTTCCTCAGTAGCTAGGCAGAGTTCTCTGTAGCAAAAACTGGCACTATGTATGTGTCATTTAATTTAGCTACGTAATAAAAGTCTTACAGCCAATGGTTTGTACTGAAACACCACCACAGTACTAGTCTTTATAGCTTTGCCTTGATCATTAATATGTAAAGTGTTATTCTTCACATCTTAAGTGTGTATTCATGACAGGTATTGCTGTCGGGGATTGTTGGTAGAGAGTAGAAAACAGCCTAAGCTGTTTACAGAAGTTTGCAGCGTGCTTGAACTTTTTGTTCTTTTCCCTAAGATGGTGATTAAGGTAAGCAATACTAAGAAAGTCAAGTTGTGGTAGGAAAGAGAGCAGTCTCATAATTAGACTGAGTGGAAAATTACGGTCTGGATACTGGCAATAATTGTGAACTCGAGGTGTGAGCTGACTGATGGTTGCTTTTGGTGAAATTCACTTTTGTGTTCACATACTTCTGATCCAGAACTGCTACAAAGTTTGCTTTCCTTAGCTGAGTAAGAGAAACTCTCAAGACGTGATCTTCTGAAGTCTTTTTAAGATACCATCTTGCACACTTGTATGGTTCACCTGAAGTTTTATTCCTTTTTAAAGTCTTTTTATTCTGTTTAGATTTGGTTGCCTATATGAATGGGTAGGAAAGAAAGTCTTTGCACAAGATGGTAACTCTGTGGTTAGTATGTATAGTTTGAGCCATCCATATAAATACAGCTGTCTGTGCTGGTCTGTAAACATTTGCTATACAAAGGAGAGCTCATATGGATTAAGAGTAGGATCAACTGGTGCAACTTTAAGAAAGGAATGAATGGATGAGTTGCTTGAGTCCGTTTCTTTTTTTCTCCCTTAGACATAAATGATACTTTTTAACAGAAATGTTTGTTTGTTTATTAGATATTCAGCATTAAATGTATCGTGATAGGAACCACCACTTGAGGGAAATTTAGTTACTATCATTTTATTTTACAAGCTAGTGGATGCTGGTATCTGTGCACGTAAAAGATTGACATGCAGGAGGGACACAATGCAAATCAGTCATAGGCTGCGATTCTATAATCTGCTGATGGAGGGGAGGAGGGAAAACCAAACAGCTGCATCTGACCAAAAATAGAGGGTCTGTGACAAGAACCTTGTGACTTCAAGATAACTTAGAGAGATGCTGAGGAAGAACCAAAGGAAAATGTGTATTAAAGTCAAATCTGGTATCAATGGAGTCAGAGTTGCCTGGCCATTAAGAGTAACAGATTAAGATGGTAATCCTGGGAAGCTGACATGTTTGAATATGTTGTGTTTTTTCACAGTATGCTGCCTAAATGAAGTCTTGCCTTTTTGGATAAAGCTTGACCAGGACGAGACCATTTGGAAAAATACCAAACTCTCTTGTGTGCTGTTGCGAAGCAGTTGTAGTTGCACCTGATCTAATTTCATAACTTTTATGGTTTGGCATATGGTTCTTGGATCGCTACATAGTGCATCGAGAGTCACTGTGTAGTGAGTCACTATGTAGTTCAGGGATTTGAAAAAGATCCCTAGTTTGACAAAATGTCACTTATTTTGTGTGTGAATTCATAGTTGCACCTCACCCTCTGTACCCTTCCCTCCCACCTGAATTATGGGCACCATGCAAATGAAAACAAATCCTGAGAGTTGGGGTGTGGGAGATGGGCAGTGTACAAAAGCATTTGTGCTAATGCTTTTATCTTACATATTTCTGAAAATTAGAAATAAGCTCTTTCTTTCTTCAAAGTAAAAAGCATCCCTCTGCTTAAAACATGACGGTCTTTTTCCTTCTATTTGTATTGTACAACTGCAAGCAGTTTATCATATCCCACCTGAAGAGTGGCCAAATAAGTAATGTTGCTGTGAATGAGTGAGAAATGAGAGTAGATTGCGCCTGGGTCAATAGTAAGCAGCAGTTTGGCTGTTCACAGCAATAATGTAAATACGGGAGTTGTTGCCTAAAGCTGCCCTAGTGGGCCAGGGAAGTAGTGGAGCAGACTTGGCAGTAAGCCCAGCCTGTAAAACAACATCCAAGTCCTTGCATTTGTCCGGGCATGCCATGTGGGGTTCGAATGACAGTGGAATTTAAGATGAGTGAAATGATCAGTAAGGCTAAGTAAAATTGCAAGACAGGAGCAAGCTTATTAAGGTAGAAGAGAATGTTGGCTTGTTTAGTACACCCATCTGTGAGTATTCTTGTGAAATACTGGCGAAATAGAACATCTAAAAAAATGTTGAACTGCTCAAAGTCATTCAGGGAAGATCAGTTTAAATCTGAAGAACTGCAGAACTGGTTGATAAGCAGGCTTTCGGGCTGTGTTGTGGCCTGCACGTCTCGTGCGTTAACTGAACAACTGAACTTAATCATTTACGTGGCTCTTCTGACTAAATGTCTCAGTGGCATTGAATGTTTATGGTTACTTTTCAGACAAAGGATGATAGGTGTGATAAAAGAGAAGATACTTTTGTCCACTTTCTTTGGGAGGCCCAGTCCTCATTTTTAGGTACCTGGGGGAAGGAGAGAAGGATCAACTTTCTGGGGATCTGAATACAAACCCATGCTCTTTCAGCAATAAATTCATGAAAATAGAACTCTGTGCTTGGTTTGGGGTTGTGTTGTGTTGTGGTTTTGTTTTTTTTTAAAGCAGAAACAAAAACTTCATTTGAGGCTGCATAAAAGACATTTGTAGGTAGAAACATGAGCAGGTACTTACAGCTAATTTATTATTCCCAGAAATGTAGAATCATATTATTCATATTAATATTTAGATTAATAGCAATTGCTTGTTTAAAAAATGGCTTCTCAGACTGCATTTTGAAGATTAGTCATCACTTCTAAAAATAAGAAATATTTTTAATATAGCAAAATTGCTGGATGGAGTTGGGTTTTTCTGTTTGTTTTTTTAACAGGTTGTTGGAGAGGGTTATTCTCAAAATCTTGTAAATACTCCTCTTTGGACTTACTCTTAGGTCCTTTCAAACCGAGATCTTTCCATTTTCTTAGGTATGAGGTTATTCAAGATTGCAGGAGGCAAATAACTTTAAATTCACTGCTTAATGAGAGTCTCTGTGTTTTAGTGGCTGCTAACTTTGCTTTTTAGGAACAAATGCTGGGAGAAATGTTTTTTAATCCCAGATTTTAAATTTTTAAAAATTGTTTTGGTAAATAGAAAAAATGGGAAGACCACTTAAACATAAATTCAGTGATAAGCAGCATTTGTACTATGCTGGAGAGGGAATGGAATTGTGACTGATTGTAGTTGGGACAGGGCACAAGCTGTTACCTTCTAACTAAAGTTGTTTTACAGAGTAACCCTTTATATCTTCATACCCAAAATGAAAGCATACTCTAAAAACAGAATGGTGAGCTGGTAACACAGTCAGGGTGCATTTATTAACCGTTAGTGATGATGATTCACTGCTTTTGATGGCTGCATAATGGGCTGTAATAATGTCTACAATGATTTATAGCTACTCGTGTATCTTAGATGCTTTCTAGTAGTTGTTCCCTAAATCAAGAACACGAAGGAGACGAGGAGATGGAGTAACTGTATGATTACAAAAGACTTTAACGGTGTCATTTGGCATAACTGTACTCAAGTGACAAGGCCCCAAGAGAATGTGTGGTTTAATCCAAAGAACCACTAAGAAAATCTGTCAACATTTTGTATTTTGCATAGCTTCTTTAAATTAGGTCAGAGTCTCTGTATTTCATCAGTGTAATTCGTCAAATTTAGGCTTTTGAGAGCAAATGCTACTGTCTTTCAAACTGCCTAGCTTTTTTGGCTGGACGCAGGAGGTTAGGCTGATTAGGTACAGTATGTGGTGAAACCTCCACTCCTGCTGGAATAAACGCAAACTATTTAGGACTCTGTGAAGAGATGCAAAGTTTCAGGGCTTGCATGTGACACAGTCGTGAGGAATGTTAATATGGTCTCCCTTGTATTTTGGGGGATCATTCTGAAAGTTGCTGAAAAAAATGGCGTTCATGCTCAGCTTCAGCCTCCCCTTTCTCATTTGGCTGTTTGATTCCTGTTACTGCCTGTTATGCTTACTGTGTCAATCTTAGCAAAGTGATTTCAAGGTGTTTCTGATTCTGCATTCATGTGAGCAGCTGGGAAAACAGGAAAGTTTCAGATTATCATTCTGGCTCGTTTCAGTCCTTTGATGTACAGAGCCTTTGAGTTTTGTGCACCTGAAATCTACTTTAAAGCTGTATTATAAAATAGATATTGGTGAAAAGCTGTAATGTTAATGATTTGAAATACTGAGTTAACTATATGGTAGGATTGCCTGCTGTGGAATGGTTTGCCCTCTGTCATGTTGTAGGACAGCTGCAGAAGTACAGTGTAATTTTGCTGAGGTGTGAAGAGTTCCCAAACTAGTTTGTTCAGATACTATCAATACCAGTTCTCAGCCCCTGTGTCATGCTCTGTTTGATAAACAGAAAGAGGCATGCCCCCATTTTGGTCTCCCCTCCTCTTACTGTATAACCTCTCCCCACTCAAACTTCTTGCCTTGGCTTATTGCATTCCTTTTCTACCATTTTTCGCAAAGACCCTAGCCTATGTCACCATACTCTCCTATAAACTAAAATGCCCGTTTTCTTGCACACTCCTGTATTGTTTTGTTTGCTATGGCCCTACTTACACATTCTGATCTTGGAAACTTGGGTTCTGCTCAGTGCTTGGTTCAGGACTGGAGCAGACTGTAAACCTGGAGGTGTCTCTGTATGGAGCAGCAGGTTGCTATCAGCAAGCTCACTGGTGTTAGAAGTTGATCAGTGGTAAAGGCATCCATGTAGGTAGTTAGGTGAGGATTTTGGTTTATAGGTACAGCATAAACCAGAACTTTGAATAACTGGATAGCCTTTTATGGAGTCCGTTAG